GGGCACACACTTGCACTTAACATGTTTTTCAAGCTGCCGGGTCCAGGACTCAAACCACACAGTCAGCTATGTGGGATCCATCTGTCTTAACCACCACACCACTGGCTGGCCCCTATTTTCTTTCATTATACCCTTATTTTATAAACCTTTTTCTATTAAAAATATTTTTTTAACTTTCTAAACTTTTTTGTTAAAAAGTAAGACACAAAGTCAACACGTGGTATGGAGGTTAAGGCACTGGGTCCTACATGGCCGGCTGCATGGCTCAAGTTCCAGACTGGGCAGCTTGAAAACCACTCTGGGCATGTGTGTGCATGAGTGCCCAAAATCCTGAGAGGAGACTGAAGGAGAAGGGATTGTGGCATGACCATCCCCCTGGGCTGTGATCTCTCTCTCTCTCTCTCTTTCTCCCCCTTTCTCTCTAGCAAGTGCACACACCCTATAGCAAAGAAGCTAAAACAAAACAAAAATATCAAGTCCCAAACACACATATTAACCTAGACCTGTGCAGAGTCAGATCATCACCTTCACATTGTGTCTACCTGAAGGACCAGGATGAACAACACAACACAAGGTTAAATTAAGTACAAGAGGGGCGCACCCCGCAGCCTGGTGGTTAAGGGAACCGATCTCGCATGGCCGCCCACAGTTGGATGGCTTGTAAAACATGCCAGGCATGTTCCCCCAGTCCTGACAGGATGGAAAAATAGGGGAGAACGGATTGAAGCATGACCACACCCCATAGTCTGCGCTTTCTCCCTCCCTCACCCGCCATCCCGCTCCTGCAGTGTGGGCCTGGTACCAGGCCTCTGCCCAGGGGTCGGGAAGCCCTGATGAACTGTACAAACAGTAGGTTTGTGTACGCCAGTGTCACCACACACGAGGAATGTGGCACTAGGTGACGGGAGCCTATCAGCTCCACTACAAGCTCATGGGGCCTCTGCTATACATGGTCCGTCGTCAACAGCAGGTGACTGTCAGTGTCCAGGTGCTGGGATACAGCTGTGACCCCAACACAGCTGCTCCTCTCCTGGGGCTTCTATCCCCCACAGGCCAGGTGACAAAATAGTTGACAGTGAGCAAGTACGAAACAGTAAAAGCAGAAGTGGCGCTAAGTGCTGTGAAGAAAAAGCAGGGAAAGTGGAGCA